ATAATTAGAGCAAAATTATTGATAATTTTTCTTTTATATTGAAGTAATAAACTACAGACATATTGGTAATAATGATATCATTTAAAAAAAATAAAAAAATGATAGCAAAAACTTATAATAGGATGAATAATCCTATTATAATCTAATGTTATAAATTTATTTCTTTGGAAATTATCAATAATAATCATTTTATTCTCATTTAATTTGACTAGAATGATTTAAATCTAAATCATTTTGATAGTTTATTTATCTATAAGAAATCAAATTAATGAGGAATGTAAACAGATATAGAGCTTAAGTACTCAATTTTTATCTGGATGACATGTCTATTAGATATCCTGAAATTGAATTAAATAAAAAATTTTCATTCATATGAAACATTCACATTAAAATTAAGTTTTTAGCACAAATGAAGCCAATTGTTATGTATAATATCATAGTTATTTGGTTAAGCTTAAATATAAAGAATATTAGGATTGATTTATTTTCAACTATAATAAAAGGTTAAATCACAATAATTCCGCTGCATAATTTCTTAATCAATCAAAATCTAAAATTAGAAGTCAGCCTAACCATATAATATTTTCATTATTTTTAATTATTAATACTCAAATTTAATTGAGTTACGATATGTTATATCTACTATAAACTGTATTTTGTATGGTTACTAAATTTAAGTGAAAGAAGAGTAAAAAATATTAGTAATACTGTTTCCATAGTTTATGGGTTGTTGAGAACCAATTATTTGATTTATAATTAAGACATTTCTATCCTAAAAGAATAGTTTAAATTTTTTAATAGTTTTAAGATAACAGAAGGATACATTTATAAATTTTAGGTTAAAATTAATGGAAACATTGTTAAACCTAAAAATTCTAATTGAATCTTTCTATACTTTACAATTAAAAGGAAAGAGTTTTTTTCTCACCGATTTATCTAATACATAAATTGTTATTTTCTTCAATGCCTATTTAAATGGAATTTTGAATTCAATTTATCAAAAGGAAATTATGAACTTCATTTTTCATTTTAAAGATCAAACAAAAGATTTATTGTTTTTATCTATAATTAGTTATACTATAATTCAAAAATTTAATGATAGACACGCATTGTAACATCTAAAAGACCAGCTAATCTATATAATATTAGTAAAAATATTATTAATCACTTAAATATTTAAAACATTCCCATTACATTAGTTTTTGATGTTAAACCTATTTTATAATCTTATTTTGAGAATTTTTCATTTTAAACCTTTCCCTTAAGTTAAATAATAAAAGGTGAAATGGCTTTCAATCTTCTCTAGCTAAATATTTTACTTCTATCCTTATTCTAGAAGATTTAATTTAGGGCTATTTAGCTGATGAATTCTTTTTCATTAATCAAAGTCAAAAAGAATTAGGAGAATAGGACCTTTCTCAAAGATTTTTATTCTACTAT